CCTCCTTCTGCCATCAAGAGTTTTTAATTAGTAAAGTACAAGAAAAGCATGGAAATTTTTATCACAGTGCTGAGCCTTGTTTTTCTTGTATTTGCATGGCGTTGCTTGGAAGGTTGGACCCTCTGAAGGGGAGTACTTGGGACAAGTGTAAATGAGGAGGAGACTAATCGGGTGGGAAGGATTACTACCCTGGTTGGTTTGGCTCTGCTTGGAGGTGCCTTAGGTTGTCCTTGTCAGAAACACTTGTTCTGAATTCCTCCATTATCTTCACATGTTGCTGGGTCAAGCCCTGGTACCTGTAGCTTGAAATTTCAGTCTTCATCCAAACCCAGGACTGAATGCAGCTGGGCTGAGTGATGGAAAACTCATGACATGAATAGCACAGGGGCCTTTCCTCATTTTCCAGGCAGACTGTCACAGCTGCCAGTGGTGCTGTTTGTCACTCCCTGTGGCTCTTGTCCTTGTTTGACTCCACCTGCGTGGTGGCCATGTCCTGTGGGATGCCAGGCATCTGCAGCCCTGATAAAGGGAACCCCAAGAAATTAATGAGTTGGTTCATTGCCCTCATTTTGAACACACAACTGAACAGGCTGCTGGCAGAGCACCCTTGGTGGTCTTGCTTGGCTGCTGCACTAGTACAGCACTGGGAGTGCTGGGCATGGGGCTTTTCTTTTAATTTGACCCCAAGTTCCCACAAATTAATATTTCCACATGACATCCTGTGATACCCTCTCTTAGGAGTAATTAATTCACTTGATCCCCCTGTGGAGCATAGAGCTGGAGCTGCCTCACATAACCCCATCCCAGGGCATGTTGATTCCTGGCTTTAGGCCACCTCATTCCCATTATGGGGTTTGCAGGAGCTGCCACAAGCGTCACCTTCTGTGTCACCAGGTAACGCTGCTTAACTCTCTATAAAGTGGGGAGGGTGCTGTTTGTATGAAATACAAAATAAAATTGTATTGTTGGTTTTAAGTCCTGCATTATTTAGTTTGGTCTTTGCCTGGTCTCCAGTGGGTCTCTCCCATGGCAGGACCTGTACATGGGGAGGACACTGCAAAAACTGCAAAACAGCATCTCTGAGATGGAGTACTGTGCTTCTCACAGTGCACTGAGAGCTTGTCTGAGGTTTGTCCTGGTTTTCAGTGGGGCTTTGGTTGGGTTTTTTTAACTCGTGAGACCTTCCTCTGTCTTATCCAGGCTCAGAGGTGAGAATGGCCATTGTGTCTCTACCTGCTGCACCCACAGGTACCTGGCTCCTCTCCACTGGTGTGACCCAGCTCATCCTCTGATGGTCCAGAGCTTTCCCACATCTGCTCCTGCACAAAGCAAATCAATTGGGGGTTTTGGCAACATTTGACCAGCCACAGTGCTGCTCCAAGGGAACCTTCTTCCACCTGCTGGCCCAGGCTGTCACTAGACTGGGACCCACAGCTCTGTGGCACTGGGGGTGTCACTGCAGTGTCATCGCTGGAGTGATCTGGGCAGCACCCAGGCTAGAAAACATCCTTCTTCCCAGGAAGAGGTTACTGCTGACCCTTAGAGCACAGAAGCTCACTTAGGTGGTGGGAGCATGGGGGACTGGGAGGCAAAGGCAGGCTGGGGTTAGCTGGGATGTTTGCTCCTGTGGCGGAGCTCAGTCTCAATGGGTCTGGTTTTAATAGTTGAGTGGGATTTGATTCACTGGTATGTGGGAAAGCCAGAAGGGATGTGAGGTAAGTGCCTCCAATAGATACTTAACCTAAAAGGTTTTATTTGGCAAGTGTTCATATATGGAAATTGTTTCTTGTATGTGCCTAAAATACTGAAAAGACAAAACCTCTGAGGATCCGCCTGTGGCAGGAAAGAATTCCATAGTGTGGAGCTGTGTAACTCCATGTCTAATTAGTGCACATATTCAAATAATTAACATGCTTATGACTCTCCAATTAGTGGTTTTTCTCTTCACCCTTGAATGCACACGTGTTGGATGTGTTTCTGTGGTTTAGCCATTGCCACCCCTGTCCCCTCTGCCCTGGGCATTGCTGCTGGGGGAGCTTTAGCCCCCTGGGGTGATCCCCAGGTGTGAGCCTGAGGGGACACAGGGGGTGTGGGCAGCACTGGGCCCTCCCCAAACTCCTCACTGTCCACACAGCCACTCTGACCAGCCCAACATCAGGCGTAAGCTTCACAGTGATGAAGGGCTGCGTTTATTAACTAAATGAGGTGGGACCGTGGCCAGACTGATTCAAGTTCTAATTGTTTAACTTTTTCCATGTATCATCATTAAAGTTTCCTACTTAGCCAGGCATTATTTCCACCACCACACCCCTGCTCTGTTGCTGCTTTTGTTTGGAGTTGTTTAACTTTGCTTTTGTTGCTGGCTGGCTGCCCCAGGGACCCTAAAGAAATCTCAGCGGGTCCGTTTCTATGAGGATAAAAGTCCTTGTGCCGTAGGATGTGGGCAGAGGTTGGAACAGTGCCCTCTCCTCCCTTTCTCATGTGTGAAAGAGGCTATTTTAATTACTTTAGGGGGAAAAAAATCTTCTCCACACATATAGTAAAACACGAAAGCTACTCCTGACTCTAAGGAAACTTGTCTGCAAGTTGTTTTGCCTCTCTGTTTCTCTCCAGAAAACACCCGCAGAGCTCTCCCAGCCCAGGAGCAACTTCTTCGCTGGGACACTTCAATATTTTGCATTTTTAGGTAGTCCTAAAGCAGTTCCTTGTGCAGGGAGGGCAGTGGGGAGGGCCTGGGCTGGGGCCAGCACTTCTCTCTGGCAGCTGATGTGCACAGGGTTACGCTTTACTGTGCAAAGATGCTGCTCAAGCCTGGTTCAGGCTTTTGGCATTATTAATGAGAATAACTTTTCTTGTTTCTAAAGAAACACTTTAGTCGTTCATTCCCAAACCTGAACGGTGCCAGGAGGCCAGTGATGAGTGTGTCCTTCCCAAGCTGATGGACTCAGAGGAGATGGAAGCTACTGGTACTGCAGGACCACGGGATGGCAGGGCCAGGGCTCCTCGGAGGGACACTGAGCACCATCACTGGAAAAGCTGCCTGGAGTGGACATTGGCAGGCTACCCATACCCTCCTCCTGTGTCCCCCCAGCAGCACCAGCCACTCGCATCCCTCCCAGGAGGTGTCTAATCTGTCCTTGGAATGGAGACACCCAGCTCCCCAGGCAGCATGTCCCAGCGGCTTTCCCAAGATCTGGGGGCGTGCAGGGGGTGCAAAGGAGCGCGTTGGGTGCATGATGTGCAGAGGAATGGATGGGATGAGCAGGGGAGATAGTGGTAAATGGGAGTGCCTGGGTGCAGGCTGGGGAGGGCAGATGGGGCGCCTGGGTGTAAGACCATGGGGCAGGCGCAACTCCAGCCGGGCGCTGCGCTGTCTCCTGCA